AGTTGGCAACTGAACACCACACAGTGGGATGGAGGAGAGAATTGGAAGAGCACGTGAGAAAAACTTGTGGGTTGAGATAAAAACAGTTTAATAATTGAAATAAAATAATAATAATAATGTAATAATAATAATAATAACAATAAAAGAATATACAAAGCAAGTGATGCACAGTGCAATTGCTCACCACCCACTGACCGATGCCCAGCCAGTCCCCGAGCAGCGGCCCCCCCGGCCAGCTTTTCCCCAGTTTATGTACTGAGCATGACGTCACATGGTATGGAATGTCCCTGGGGCCAGTTTGGGTCAGCTGTCCTGGCTGTGCCCCCTCCCAGCTTCTTGTGCACCTCCAGCCTTCTCAGTCGGCAGAGCATGGGAAACTAAAAAGTCCTTGGCTAGTGTAAGCACTACTTAGCAACAACTAAAATATCAGTGTGTTATCAACATTGTTCTCATCCTAAATCCAAAACACAGCACTCTATCCCTGCTGAAACCAGGACAATGACTCACTGAGTCAGCTTTAGTCTGTGCCTCATAACATCCTTCTGTTATTAGCTGTCCCACAGTCCCTGTGTTCCACTGACATTTCTTCCCACCTTCCGTTGTCATGGGGAATCTAACATCTCCCCTGTCTCTCACCACCTTCCCACAACTTGCAACAAATGGACAGTAAATGAAATATGTTCAGTGGTCTTGGGAGCCACAGATACTAATCAGGATTTCTCCCTTTGAGGTCAGCACCCTCATCGCAGGCCAGAGAATCATGCTCTTTCCTTTGCTCTCTTTCTGGCCTAATAGATATCACATTATTTCTTGAAAGGTGCACAGAGTTCCTAGAAACTTGCAGCTAACATCCAGCAATCTTTTGGAGACAAAGGCACATTTGTGTCCTCCCAGTCTAAGGATGACTGGACTCCAGCCCTACTCCTTCCAGCGTGCAACAACAGAGGTAACAGCAGAAATGATCCCACCAGCATGTTTCAAAAGAAAGGACTGATCCTCCACTCAATTTTTTTAAGAGAACGGCTTCAGTTTCAAACTCTGTGACAGAGTTTAGATGCATGAATCGCAATCTGACAGGAATGCTTCTCTGCAGACCTGAGTTAAGTACCAAAGCCTCTGAGAGGAGTGACATTTGAGTTAAATCCTGCTCTTCAGTATTCATATGAGGTACTTGAGGTTGCTTTCTGCTGCTATGAAGCTTATTGCAAGTGTCTCGTTTTCCTCGGATAAGCAGTTTATGGGGCTATGTTTTCCACTTTGGATTCCAGTAACTAAAAAATAAGACATGGTAATGTTTATCTCTGCAGTGCTTAAGACACATTTTGAATTGTTTTTGACTATTCTTTATACTCTTTAACCTTTGTATTACAGTCTTAATGTTTTCACTGATTGGTGCCACAGTGGACTGAATAATCTGTTCATTCAGTCAAGCTCCACCTTAATTTTCAAATCAAAATATATACCACTGTCATCAGATTGATTAGTACAAAAAATTAGCCAAAAGAAATATCCATAGATCTCTCATTAACCTAATAATTAGGACCATATACTCTAAAAAGAAGAATGAAAGATGGAGGGCTAACAGGCAGATAATAAACTGAATATATTTTTAGCTGAACTACAAGTTCATTTATGTTTTTCTCTGTACGAAACTGAAGAAAACAGATTAATTTTCCATTGACTTTTAACATTTTGTAGATACACAAACATTATTTCTGTGACCATAAGTCCCTAATTAAAAGCTTGCATTATTTTATTTGTGATCACATGCACTGTGAATAACTCCACAAGACATCTGGCCCTATAATGTACAGGATGCATAATATTTCCCTGTGAGCAAATGTCCCATGACAAATATTCTATCCCTACAGTTCCATGATACACCTTTCGTAGCAAAGCTTCAAAATAGAAACAACTGTGAACAGAGATCCTGGAGCTGAAAAAGCCTGAGAAATTTTGAGAAAATTAGGTTTTTGGGGTGGGCCTTTGGAAAGTATAACTCACATTCTCCAAGTGGGTATTTCAACTGTCCTTTGCTTTTGGTGAAGGAATTGAAGAACTTTCTAACAGTTGTTCTTAATTTTCAGTCCTTATTACTTCCTTTTTAGTAAGCCAGTAACACTGAGAAATGCTGGTTCATTGTAGCCATCACTCCTTGATCAGTCAAGAACTTTTCATACCTCATCTGTAACCTTTTTTCATTTTAGGATCCCTTCAGTTTGCAGCATGGGCAACAAACACACTTATTTTTATGTGACTTCTCTAGTTGAGACTTTCTTTTTCTGAACTTATTAATGTATCCAGGAACTGTTAGAACGATACAGTGAAGGTTTCTGATATTTCCTTCATCATGCTCAATGTCTGTCTTTCATATCCCATGGAGTTTAAACCACCATTATAATTTAAAAAGAAAATAGCAGCTGGGATTAAAATCTTGCAGCAGGAAGAAGTAGAAAGCATTGCATGTTTGTAAAGTTTAGGTGGGACAGGGATCGTTGTTTCAGTGACATGAAAAGCCCTCAGCTGGACTTATATTTTAAGAGAGAATAAATGAGAGAATTCTTAGCCAGCTGAAACTAGTTGATTTTATTTGAACAGCAGGACCATGGACTTGTAGCTATTATGACCAAAAGAGAAGAACATCCACATTTTTAGGATAAATTCTCATTCCTTTTAGCAATATATTGTTATTTAAGTGCATGTCAGTCAAATTGGATAGGCACTACCCTGAGCTCACTGAATCTGGAGAGGAAGACTGTTCTGCTATGTTGAGAGCAAAGCTATAGCCCATTTACCTCTCCTTTTCCTCCATCTTTATAAGTCTCCACTTGAAACAGTAATGATATTATCACACACTTTGCATAAAATTTTTTAAAAAAGTTCTGCAGATTCCAAATGTATAATGCATAGGTACTCCAAAAAACCTGCACGTCAGCTGAATTTTTGGTGCAAACTCTCTATACTTTTAAAATAAGTCTTTGGAAAAAGCTTTGCTTCCTTTTTCCTATAATACTACAAAGCAAAATAAGCAAGACACAGTACAACACCAAAAAGGAAAATGCCACCTAAAAGCATATTAAAGGCAACAAATATATCATTGTGAATTCACAGCAGTATTTCATTTCAAACAATCTCCCATTCTTGAGTGCTAGAAATGACCCATTGTTGAAAAGCCGTGTGATTTGTGACAGTGGTGGTGTGAGAGTTCAATGTAGGAATCTGTAAACACACTTCAATTTTATTTCAGTAATTGCTGAAATGAACATAAAATACCATTTTTAAAGTTTTAGGGGTTTGAATTTTTTTTTCTGTTTCTTAAATCCACATGTAAGCAGGCCCCAAAAATCCTTTCTTTTCATCCTTATATGGCACTCCTCACAAATGACACTACTCTTCAGGAGAGTATTAAATTGACAAGTTGCAGCTAAAGCTCCCCAAAAATAAACACGTCACAATTTATTCAGGGATACAAGCATGTCTCACCTTGTCAGCTTTCAGACTGTTGAGCTAAGAAAAATAGGTGCAACTTTTCATTAAAGGTCTGCTTTAAGCGTGGTAGTTAAGAACATAAAAATGGTACCTTAAAGATGGTTCCTAAATCCTAACTATGAACTGCTTAGAGCACTGATTTTCTAAAGTGCTGAGCGCTCTGCCTTTCTCTTTAAAGTCATAGCTTGGTCAGGGCAAGATAAATGCCTAGTGATTTCTGTGTCTCCAGCTTTAGATGCCCATATACATGGGTGCTTTTGGTATTTAGGCTACATGTGCTTAAATAAAGACATTCCTCCCTTTTACTGAAGTTGTTCTATGGGGATTTGTAGGCTACAAACTGGCTTTCCCTCCTTTTCAAGGTGTCAGATGGTGTGGTCAGCTAAAAAGCCCTGTTAAAAATTTTCAGATGTGAATTCTGGGAGCGTACTCAAGATGAAAACATGCAATAGAAGCATAATAGAGAATGACTGCAATTTGTTTCTCTTGTTTACCTGATGAGCCTTGAGCCTGCTGATATTCACAGCAGACCTAGCTGTTTACATGCACTTTTTCTGAGTAAGCTGTAATAGCTATATAGTATGCTTGGTGTTTACACAACATTTTACAAATATATTGCAAGGCATTTTCTTAAAGAGCTTGTACTGACAGTCAGCTCCAGACACTAGGCAATACTGAATGGGGTGGTTATTCACGATAACAAGAAATGACTGGCTGAAGGAAGCTTGGGAGTGGTCTCTGAATACTGGGAAAGAACAGCTGGAAGAGGAGGACTGAGTTAGCTGGGGGATGAGAGGATGATAGGAAGTTAAATCAAGCAAAGAAGAAACCGAGGGAGAAGGAGTAGGGAATGGGCAGATGAAAAGAAACTAGAAACAGACATATCAGTGAGATTGCAAAGGGTTTTGTCATCAAGAATTAACAGCTTTAGCATGATACAAAGGAGAAAAACAGTCAATAAAGGGATTCAGAAAGGAGAGTGACATGATCAGAGCAAGAGATAGGAAAGGAAGATTCCTTTGGCAATGGCACTTATAACATTAAAATGGGAGAGAGTGGCAGACAGTGGGAGTGGATAATTTTGGGGAATCAAATCCAGCCATGCTCAGCTCATAAAGATACATGGATTTTAGCAATGCAGTATTGTAAAGCCAGTGGCTCCCAGAGATGTTAGAGGGGAAGAAATCAAATATGTTTGTGTTTTAATAACACATTAAAAATATACCACCAGTGGGTCTGTGCTTCACTGGAAGACACATTTACGTTGCAATATTAAATTTTTTCCAAGAACTCTGAACCAAGGACATACTGCAGTCTGTCATCTTGAACTCTAGCCCTCATTACCTTAACAGGTTTAACTTAGACCCTTAATCGCATATAATACTGTCCATTGCTGTAATGATATTCCTCAGTCATAGAAGGAAGATATATGGTTGGCAGCCTACTAACAGTACCGTTGGTTTTGGCTGGTGCTGAGTTCCCTTGCCATGGGGTCAGGGGAACATGGCCACCCTCCCTCACAAGTCCTGCTATTCAGCAAAGATGATAACAAGGAAGCTACACTCTGTTTGGTGGCCTGGTACCTCATTTTTCTATTTGCTAATTCTTTAAAACTGGATTAGGGAAGCTCTGGGAGAGTTGTAGCTCTCATCTGCAGGAGGTGATGCTGCTGCTGCTACTGCTTTGTGCTCCTGTTTTCTAAGTGAGTGAGTCCCAGGTAACGGCCATCGGTCTTTACACCCCAGATACCTGCAGCCTTGTATTGCTACTACAGTGGGATTTTCCACAAAGGGAAAAGGCATCAGGGGAAAGAGGTTAATTAGGCAGAGAAGACTTCTGTCCCTAAACAGTGAAGCAAGTGCCATAATGAAAGTCAATGTAATGAGGCAAGTAGGATGGACTTTGAAACAGGGATCATGTCAGGTGGATAAAATTACCCTGCTTTCCTTGATAAATAATAAAATATAATTTTGACTAACAAAAGCCTTAGCTCAATGTAAAACTTCACATATATAGATAAAAATTTGCTCCTTTTCCTTTTTATTAATTTTTAAAAGTTCTCCCCTGTGCTCTGAGGATATGCTCCACAGGTGAAAGAAAGACTGCCATTTATTCACATCACCTGGTAAAAGACTTGGCTGTTAATACTGGTGTATAGTCCTTCCTGTTGGTGGTGGGGATAGTTATATTCCAGCCAACAGTATATGTTTGGGAAACCTTAGCTAATTGAAACTGTTTTGTTCAGGTGAGTTGGCTCTTTTAGCTCTGCTGATGTCTATAGAAGATTTCTCTGTGAAAGTATTACGTGTAACTTAACAATATGGTTTAAATTCAGAGAATCTTTTCCACCTCAGAAATGTCTCAGTTACCTCTACAGTGAATATTATTGGTTATTCCAGTACTCAAAAAAAGTCAGTGAACTATGTAAGTATGTTATTATTTATTTTGTTAAAACAGGCTCTCTAATTTTTGAGAGCAAAATTAGCAAAGCACAATAGCAAGGTAATAAAGCAACCTAATTCCATCCCCTTTTAAAAACAAATAAGAGAAGTCATTTTAGTATAAGAGTAAATAGGGGGGAAAAAAGCATCTAAAACATCTGAGGTAACTGGCAGTAAAATCAGCTACAACAAAAGGATAAAACCAAAGTCTCAGAAGAATCTGTCCTTCTGGTGTCGTCTCAGTCAATTCAAGAAATCACAGACCTTGCCGTGACAAAGCAGTTGTATGACGTGACAACTTCTGCCGTATCTGAACCCCAGACAGGTTTCAAGGTTAAAGCCATATTTGTGTTTTCAGAGTTTTTCTTCATAATTGGTAAGGTTATGTCTATGAATATTATAATATCTAATCTGAAAATTTCTAATAGGTTAAAAGGCAATCTGTCATCATCTTTAAAATGTGATGTTAACAGCTTTATAGTTAAATTAGGCCATGAAAAATGGCTAAAGGTTGTCTACGAAAAAAGCTTTTTTATGACAAAGATAATTGAACCCATAGAGAGGAAAATATAAGCTGAAAATGAATTAGAAAATTCATCATGAAAGTGTGTCATTATATTAATTTAGAGAGAAAATAACTTTTTTATTTACCTATCTCTAATGAATTCATCTTTCTTTGTACAGACAGGCTAAGAGAATGTCAAAATGTTAATGATGAACATGTCAAAAGTTAGACTTTAACCTTGTCACATTCTGGGTAAGGCTGAGCAGTTAAAAACAGTATTTCTGACGTGCTTGTAATGCAACATGAGAGGAATCTTTGTAAGCCTTTTTTTTTTTTTGAAGGATAAGAGAAAGATGTTTTGGAGAAATTGAATTTAATCAATTTGTTAGCTTTTTTTTTTCTCATATCAATGTATTATGCAATGAAAGAGTGTTCTAAGAGCACTGAAAATTTCACTTCAGCCTGCATATAAAATGACTTAAATTATTCTCAAAGTGTGGTTCTTTATCACTGCAAGATAATGAAGATGACAGAACAGAATATGAAGAAAGGCATTTCAATTCCTGTTACTGTTTTTTAGCTCTGAATATTAGTTGCAGCGCACACTGACTCAAAATTTTTCCATTTTATCCGTGTTTGTAGAGTAATTTATAGTCAGCACTATTAATTGCCCCAGTAATGAAACCAATGAGCGTACTTCTAGAGCGAACAATAATGAGGCAGAACATCCAAAGTACTAGATGATAACTAAGCTGTGTCAGACCCTGGAACATGTAACTTCTTTTTAAAATGAGTGTTCAAATATCATTTAACTGTTCCCTTAGACATTTTTCATAATGAACCTTCATTTTAGTTCTTCATTTTCTCAGTGTTTAAAGATAAACATTTTGAGCATCTCTATCTGATGTTAGGACTCCACAGAACTTTGTGAATTCTCATAAGAAACAGGCATTTTCTTTTCATGACAAATGAGGGGTTTTAAACAATGAGTATGGGAAATATCTCATTTGTTTAAAAAAAAAAAAGAAAGAAAATAAACTAAAATTTTTATTGAACCTACTGGATATTTTAAAAATTTTGCTATTATTTCTATTTTACTGAAGTACTGATTCCGCCAGGAAAGAAACTCTCCTCCTGAAAATATAGTTGAAAGACCTTCTCTTTGGACAGGTTTTGTAAAAGAAGAAAGGCGTGTATCTAGGGGTATTTAAATTTGAACTTGTATATCTCAGAAACTCCACAAGCATTGCAATGTATTAAGGTGAACTTCTGACACTTAACAGTAGAAAACTGGAGCTGTTTCTGCTGTCATTTATATTGGCTTCATAGGGGTATATGCTGTTCACTTCTGTTAAATCCATTTTAATTTAAATAAGTGTATGCGAATGTAAAAAGGGGTCCATTCAGGTTTTTTTTCCCCATTATGTGTGTATTTCTATACATTTCATTATAACCAAATCACAACTGAGGAGCTGTTATAATGCACTTGGTCAAAGTCCAGGGCTGTTATGCCTCTGCCCCCTTCTCCCCCAGTTTGCTAAATAGAACAGACAAAAAAAATCTGTTCAAAAAAGGACAGGAAAATAAAATATGTTGTTCTGCCTATGTTTCTGTGGCAGTAGCTGAATGCGGTGTAAAGGAATTACTGTGATGATCCTGTAACCTCTTAGTGTTCCTCCACAGAGAGAAAATCAATAGTTTGATCAAACCAGCTATTAAGACAGCAAGGAACAAGTTCCCAAGATACAAGGAAGAAATTGTTTACGCTGAGGGTGGTGAAACACTGGAACAGGTTGCCCAGAGAGGTGGTGGATGCCCCGTCCCTGGAAACATTCAAGGTCAGGTCGGACGGGGCTGTGAGCAACCTGATCTAGTTGAAGATGTCCCTGCCTACGGCAGGGGGAGATGACCTTAGAGGTCCCTTCCAACACAAACTATTCTACGATTCTATGAAAACAAATTGGTCTGCAAAAATGGCTGCACTTAGGCATTGCATCATTTTTGGTGTGGATGGAGTTGTGTATACAGGGACACAAAAATAAAAGTATATGTCTTCCACGCACAGTGGATTCAAATCTAATGTTTGTCACTGGGGTACCTAATTAAAAATACATTTTTAACCAAGTTAAAGTTCATAGAGAAGGAAATATATAGAACAGCACATAAAACTCTGTAAATTCCCTTTATATGAGAAAATAAAAAATATGAACTTTCTTACTTCAAAGAAGAAATCGTTCCATAAAAGATTTTAATTCATTACCTTTTTTCACAGATGATAAAATTTTGCCATAAATGGAGGGTCAGATGAGCAAAAGATATTATCACAAGTATAATTTGGGAACATCTTTGATTTATTTCCATAACAAAGAACTAGGTATTAGAGATAAAGGAGATGTCGCACCTAGCACTTTTAGATGACACTACCTGTAAAGGAGAGCTAGCTGCAGACACGGCATCTATAGCCCACTGCGTTATGAAGCTGAATTGTAAATTAATACACGCACTCGGACATAGATTTTGAGATCTCTATGTAAACACAAGAAAACACATTTCAAAATAATAACTAAGGTGTTTATCATTATCAGATAAAAACCAAAAACATCACTGAAAAATATCACTGTTGAAAATGAAATACATGTGAAGTACTAGTGACAAAAAAGGGACCCAACCCCCTACATTTAAATCCACAAAGAATGGTATAATGCAAGAGAAAGGAGAATCTAGTAGTTTACAGTAATTCTCTTGAATATGTTGTTCCAGAGACATGGACTGTTAAACCTGGTTTTAATTATTTTCCTTTTTAATTAAGAAGTAAATAACCTTATTAGAATGATGTTCTTCAACCATTCAAACTAGTTTTCTCCAAGAAACACAATTACTGAAGTCTCTGCATAAATTACAGAGACAATTCCACCAATCAAGAAGCAAACGAAGGGTCGTCTTTTATGTCTCATGTTAGGCATAGTTTGTCAGTGCTGTTAAATTACTTTTCTGTGGATTAAATTCCTCTTAACTGGTTGATGTTTGCATTTCATTAACTCAGATCATTATTAATGTCATGATAAATGATAATGAAATACACCTTCCTTCACTAATAGACTGTCATAGTGATGCTCAGATAGGTCTTTTCCTCAGTAATCTTTCTCTCAAGTAAGCCTGAGATGAGGAATAGCCAAATCAAGACAGGAATATGCTAAAATGATTGGAATGTATCCCTTACGTCTATGTCTTCTTTCATAAAGATCAATATATAGAAGAACAGGAAAGCTGTAACTTCATCTGTCCTCAAGGAAGAGGAGATAATACACAACCTCTTGTTCCTGGGTACAATTTTGCTGCTAACAGGGGCTGACTTGATGTACTTCAATCTTTACGTTTCTATGGTTTTTCCAAAGATGCTTTTAGGTGGATAAACTGCATGTTTTGGAATGTGAAGAAACCATACAGACAGAGTAGTCATCATCCCTCAGATAGTCAGTGCCGTAAACATTTATATGTATTTTGGGTATCGTGGGTCTCTCTGAAAGACAACATTGACGTATATATACATACATATCCTCATATGAACTT